CATCAAGACGATGTGTTGGGTCTAAGAACCACGTCCCTACCTCAAAGGTCAAGGTCAAACTTACATTTTGAAGTTTCACAGTATCACAAAAATAGTTTATAGGTACACAAATTCGTGTCTAGACTGTAACGTTGTCATGCATTGAACGATTTCAAAATAACTAGGCATAAATGTCAACCACATCAAGATGATGTGTCACTTCTAAGAATTATGTCCCTACCTCAAAGGTCAAGGTCACACTACCATTTTGAAGTTTCACATTATCACAATAAGAGTTTATAGGTACACACATTTGTGTCCGGACTATCGAAGGATTGTAGAATAACTTGGCATAAATGTCTTCCACATCAAGACGATGTGTCGCGTCTAAAATACCTACCTCAAAGGTCAAGTTCACATTGCCATTTTGAAGTTGACTTTATCACAATTAGAGTGTATAGATACACACATTTGTGTCAAGGTCACACTTATAGTTTGAAGGTACTTATTATACCCTCTGAAACGAAGTTTGGGGGGTATATAGGAGTCACTCAGTGGTTGGTCGGTTGTTCAGTTGGTCGGTCAAGCGTTCCGTTGCATTTTCCTTGTCCGGAGCATAACTTGAAGACTAATGGTTGGAATTCAATATAACTTCATACAATGGTCAAGCACATTGAGAGGAAGTGCAGTGTACAAGAAGCATAACTCTTTCTTCACTAATTACAGAGTTATTGCCCTTTGATTACTTTTCCTTGTCCGGAGCATAACTTAAAAAGTACTGGTTGGAATTCAAATGATCAAGCACAATAAGGGAAAGTGCAGTGCACAAGAACCATAACTCTATCTAAAGTAATTATAGAGTTATTGCCCTTTGTTACTTTTCCATTGCTTTCTTTTGTCCGGACCATAACTTGAAGACTTTTGGTTGGAATTCAATATAACTTCATGCAATGGTCAAGCACATTGAAAGGAAGTGCAGAACACAAGAACTATAACTCTATCTAAAGTAATTACAGAGTTATTGCCCTTTGTTACTTTTCCATTGCTTTATTTGTCCGGAGCATAACTTGAAGACTAATGGTTGGAATTCAATTCAACTTTATACAATGATTAATCACATTGAGAGGAAGTGCAGTGCACAAGAACCATAACTCTATCTAAAGTAATTATAGAGTTATTGCCCTTTCTAACTTTTCAATTGCTTTCTTTTATCCGGACCATAACTTGAAGACTTATAGTTGGAATTCAATATAACTTCATGCAATGGTCAAGCACATTGAGAGGAAGTGCAGTGCACAAGAACCATTACTCCATCTTGACTAATATCAGAGTTATTGCCCTTTGTTACTTTTCCTTGTCCGGAGCATAACTTGAAAAGTACTGGTTGGAATTCAAAACAACTTCATACAATGGTTAAGCACAATAAGAGGAAGTGCAGTGCACAAGAACCATAACTGTCCAGAATAATTATAGAGTTATTGCCCTTTGTTACTTTTCCATTGCTTTTTAGCTCACCTGTCACAAAGTGACTGGGTGAGCTTTTGCGATCGCTTTTCGTCCGTCCGTCGTCTGTACGTAAACTTTTACTTTAAATGACATCTCCTCATAAACCACTAAGCCAATTTCATCCAAACTTCACAGGAATGTTCCTTTGGTGGTCACCTTTAAAAATTGTTCAAAGAATTAAATTCCATGCAGAACTCTGGTTGTCATGGCAACCGAAAGAAAAAACTTTAAATATCTTCTTTTAAAAAACCCAAAGAGCTAGAGCTTAGATATTTGGCATGAAACATCTTCTAGTGAGTGTCTACAAAGCTTGTTCAAATAAAAGCCTTGTGGTCAAAATTGGCCCCGCCCCAGGGGGTCATTGATTTTTCCTATATGCATATAGTAAAAACTTAAAAATCTTCTTTTAAAGAACCAAAAGATCTAGAGCTAAGATATTTAGCATGAAACATCTTCTAATGAGTGTCTACCAAGTTTGTTCAAATAAAAGCCCTGGGGTCAAAATTGGCCCCTCCCCTGGGGGTCATTGATTTTCCCTATATGCATATAGCAAAAACTTAAAAATCTTCTTTTAAAGAACTCAAAGAGCTAGAGCTAAGATATTTAGCATGAAACATGTTCTAATGGGTCATTGATTTTTCTTATATATGTGTATAGCAAAAACTTAAAAAAATCTTCTTTGAAAAAACCTAAATGGCTAGAGTTAAGATATTAGCATGAAACATCTTCTAGCGAGTGTCTACAAAGTTTGTTCAAATAAAAGCCCTAGGGTGAAAATTGCCCCCCCCCCCTCCCCGGGGGTTTTAGATATCATATTAAGCATGAAACATGTTCTAGTAAGTGTCTACAAAGTTTGTTCAAATAAAAGCCCTGGGGTCAAAACTGGCCCCGCCCCAGGGGTGTGATTGTTTTTAACTATTTTTGAATGCAAGAAAAACAATGAAAGTGGAACAAACAATCAACACAGGATAAGTTTTAAGGTTTATTTAATGATGATAACCGACGTTTCGACTCTCACGAGTCTTCATCAGGGTTATAAAATCTTAAAAAATCTTCTTTTAAAAAACCCAATGAGCTACAGCTTAGATGTTTAGCATGAAACATCTTCTTATGGGTGTCTACCAAGTTCAAATAAAAGCCCTTGGGTTAAAATTGGCCCTGCTGGGGGTGGGGGAAGGGCAGATCAATATTTTTGAATAGTAAAAACTTAAAAAAATCCTCTTTTTAAAAACCCAATGAGCTACAGCTTAGATGTTTAGCATGAAACATCTTCTTATGGGTGTCTACCAAGTTCAAATAAAAGCCCTTGGGTTAAAATTGGCCCTGCTGGGGGTGGGGGAAGGGCAGATCATTGTTTTTCATTATATGTGTGTAGTAAAAACTTAACTTCTTATGGATGACTTCCATGGTCAAGCCCAATGAGAGGAAGTGCAGTGTACAATAACCATGACTCCAACTTCAGTATTTGTAGAGTTATTGACCTTTGTTCCTTTTCCTTGTCCGATGCATAACTTAAAAACTAATGTTTAAAATTCAATGCAACTTCATACAATGGTCAAGCGCAATGAGAGGAAGTGCAGTGCTCAAGTAGCCTAACTCTTTCAGGACTTATTACAGAGTAATTCAATAATACTTCATCAATGGTCAACCACATTGAAAGGAAATGCAACATACAAGAACCACAACTATCTTTAATTGCCCACAACCGTAACTCTAATTCAATTCTTTTGCAAGGTATTCTGTTACTAGTAACTTCCTCATTTCCAAGGCAGTCTTGCGGGGGTATTAATCACATTTAGTGATAGTTCTAATTCTCCATATGAGAGTTTGAAGATACCAGTCATGTCCGGACTGTAACTTTGTCATGCATGGAAGGAATTTAAAATAACTTGGCGCAAATGTCTACCACATCAAGCTGATGTGTGCGGCTAAGGCTCATGATTGTCTGTCTGTCCCCACTTACACAACAATCATGTCCAGACTGTAACTTAGTCCTGCATTGAGGGATTTTGAAATAACTATGCACAAATACCTATCACATGACAATGTTGTGTCAAGTCCAAGAACCACTTTCCTTTTCAAAGGTCAAGGTCACGCTTATATTTTGAAGGTTCATGCTATCATATTTAGAGGTAATAGGTACACACAACATTTGTGTCAGGACTATAACTTTGTCATGCAACGAAAAAAACTTGGCACAAATGTCTACTGCATCCAGATGACATGTTGTGTGTAAGACCCATGTTCCTACCTCCAAGGTCAAGGTTACACTTTTATAGTTTGAAGGTACTTATGCTCATAAGAAGAGTATGAAGGTACACATTAGTTTCCAAATTGTAACATTGTCATGCATTGAAGGATTTTAAAATAACTTTGCATAAATGTCTACCACATCAAGATGTTTTGTTGCATCCAAGACCCTTGTCTCAAGGTGTTAAGTTTGATATAAATAGCACTTCATTTCACAAGAACAATATTAAGCAATTAGTTACTTTCATTCTATTTTCTTTTCATAATACCTGCATGCTTAAGAAACCTTTTTGGGGGCATTCATCACTTACTTGACAGCTCTTGTTTAATTATTCAGTTCCATTCGGGATTTCCTCATTTGTTTTCTCTGGTCTTTTTACAAAAACAAATGCTGTCTGTTTTTTTTTTTTCGCTCATTGCAACGTCATTTTTCATATTTTTTTTCAGGAAGGGAGATCACTCTTAGAAAATGACAAAACTGCAAATGCGGTGTTGTGGTACGTTATATGCCACAGTAAATGTAACAATCGGAAACTGTTTCTTTTATTTTCAGCGATTTTATCTGGTTTTGAAACTATCGAAATTGAAAATAAACTTGTTTTGAAACAACAGCATTTGAAATTTTTGGTGAAAATCAGTTCGTTTTAATGATAAAACGATGATTATCTGGAACTTTTTATGGTAACTGCTAATTGTTCCATACTTATCGTCTTGGTAGAATTCATAGCTAAACAACTTTAGCTAAAAAAAATAAAGCGAACATATGCTAACAATTGTAATTTTCACACCTTTCAAATTTAATTGGCACACTGTCATCGATCAACAAAAGTTTTGTAAAGGTGCGAAATATTCAATTAAGATTGACAATACCTGGGACAGAAAGATATACACATTACATTATTGGTCCCAAACAATACACAAGATTTTTTAGATGACACTCTACTTGAATTTTCCTTTGAGGTTTAAGGAGGTATATTTACATTGAAATTGAACAAAATTCTACCAAAATCGTTCCGGTTTTCGGAATTGGAGTTTCTGGTTTATAGAAGCTTTTTTGTTGAAAGAAATAGAAGGAAAAGAATCGGGACTGCGAAAAAAATTTTGTAGAAGATTCCGGAATGCAAGAGTTTCCGGTTTAGGGAGTTTTTACTGTATCTATACAACATACAGAATACTGCTCAATACCAATCTTACCTTCACAATGTTATGTAGATGATAGTTATTTCAGCCTTGTTTTGATTATGATGGAGATTACCTTATTTCAGCAATGTTTTGATGAAGAGTACTATTGTGAGGGTGAAGGAGAGGATGTTAAACCTGTGTTTGACGTGTCAGATGAAGAAATGGGTAAATATTATGATTTTTATGCCACCCCAGCATCTGCGATGCGGTGGCATATAGCGATTCACCTGTGTGTTTGTGTGTGTGTTCTATAGATTATATAGTGAACTTAAAAAATCTGTTCTATAGATTATATAGTGAACTTAAAAAATCTTCTTGTGAAAAACAGTGGTTTTCAACCAAACTTTGCAGGATTGATCCTTGGGTGAAGAGCTTTCAAAGTTGTTCAAAGAATTTCATTCCATGCAGAAATCTGGTTGCCATGGCAACCAAAAGGAATTATAAGAATAAATTAAAAAAATCTTCTTGTAAAGACCCAAAAGGCCTAGAGCTTAGATATTTTGCATAAGTCATTGTCTGGTAGACCTCTACCAAGATTGTTCAAATTATAGCCCTGGGGTCAAAATCGGCCCCGCCCCGGGGGTCATTGATTTTCATTATATGTACATATAGTAAAAACTTAAAATACCTTCTTGTAAAGACCCAAAAGGCCTAGAGCTTAGATATCTTGCATAAGGCATTGTCTGGTAGACCCTTACCAAGATTGTTCAAATTATAGCCCTGGGGTCAAAATCAGCCTGCGCCGGGGGTCATTGATTTTCACTTTATGTACATATAGTAAAAACTTAAAATACCTTCTTGTAAAGACCCAAAAGGCCTAGAGCTTAGATATTTTGCATAAGGCATTGTCTGGTAGACCTCTACCCAGATTGTTCAAATTATAGCCCTGGGGTCAAAATCTGCCCCGCCCCGGGGGTCATTGGTTTTCCTTATATGTACATAGTAAAAACTTATAGTAAAACTTTAAAAAAATTCTTATAGCAATTGACAAATGCTAAAGGTTAGATATTTTGCATGAAACATTGAGAAGTGAACCTCTAGCAAGATTGTTCAAATTATAGCTCTGGGGTCAAAATTGCCCGCGCCCCGGAGGTCATTGATTTTCAATATATACATAATGTTAAAAAAATCAAAAAATCTTATTATCTGAAGGTTCAAGTCTTAGAGCTTTAATATTTGTTAAATGATATCATCTATAGGTACTCTACCAAAGTTGTTCAAATTTTGTCTCTAGTGTCAAAATTAGCCCCGCCCCGGGGGCCATAGGTTTTCCTTATATATATATAGTAATAGCTTAAAAAATCATCTTCTCTTCATTTACAAATGCTAGAGTTAAGATATTTTGCATGAAACATTGTGTAGTGAACCTCTAGCAAGATTTTACAAATTATAGCCCTGGGGTCAAAATTGGCCCCATCCCCAACGGACATTGATTTTCACTATGTACATATAGTAAAAAATTCTAAAATCTTCTTGTCTAAAGGTACAAGGCTTAGAGCTTTGATATTTGGTATATAATATCATCTATGGGTCCTCTACAAAAGTTGTTTTAATTATGCCCCTAGTGTTAAAATTGCCCTGCTCCAGAGGCGATAGTTTTCCTTATATGTATAAAATAAAAACTTGAAAAATTTTCTTCTCTGAATTGAAAAATCTTCTTCTTTGAATTGACATAGGCTAGGGGTTAAATATATGGCATGAGACTTTGCGAAGTGAACCTTTACCAAGATTGTTCAAATTATAGCCATGGGGTCAAAATTGGTTCCGCCCCGGGGGTCATTGATTTTCATTATGTACATATAGTAAAAAAACAAATAATATTTTTGTCTGAAGGTACAAGACATAGAGCTTTGATGTTTGCTATATAATATCATCTATAGGTCCTCTACCAAAGGTGTTCAAATTTTTCCCCTGGTGTCAAAATTGGCTCTGCCCGGGAGCAGTGATTCTCATTATGTACACATAGTAAAAGCAGAAAATAAAACAAATGTTTTCTGAATGGGAGAAAGCTACAGCTTAGATATTTGACTTGAAATGTTGTTTGGTGGACCTGTATCAAGATTGTTTTGAATTAAACCCTTTGGTCCAAAATTTTGCCTTGCCCAAGGGAACAGTGACCTACTTTCTTGTCTTTTGATGTACAGCAATGAAATTTTGACCATGTGCACAGTTTTAGTTGTAAAATTGAACTTTGATATCAGGTGACCTAGATTTTGATGATGTGACCTACTTTCTTGTCCTTTGATGTACAGCTATGAAATTTGAACCAAAATTGTGCACTGTGAGATTAAGATGTAAAGTGAACTTTGATTTCAGCTGACCTAGATTTTGACAAAGTGTCTTACTGTATTGTCCTTTGATGTAGTCATGAAATTTAGGATGTGTGAAATATGACCTTCACCACCAAATTCACTAGACTCGCGTGCATTGATATATTCCTACTCTGATCTTTTATTAAATTAACAACAGATTTAACCACTAATCTGATAATAAGAATTAGATTATTTATAAGGTCAGGGATCTATGCATTATGACAATCTTCAAAATTGTATAGAAACAAAAAAAAATCTGTTCCTACACTACTATTTAGTATTGTATTAATGCGGTGGCATAGCATTTTTCTCAAATGCAATCTTATTTTCTTTGTGATACCAAGCATATATATATGCTATATATAATTTTTTTTTATCTTCAATTGCATAGAAAAAAAAAATCTGTTCCTACACTACTATTTAGTGTTGTATTAATGGGGTGGCATAGCATTTTTCTCAAATGCAATCTTTTTTCACATTTTTTTTTCCTTTTTTTTTTTCTTTGTGATACCAAGCATATATATATGCTATATATAATTTTTATGCCCCCGCCATGTAATGGCCGGGGCATATAGTGTTACCCTGTTCCGTCATTCTGTCATTCCGTCATCATCAGTTTCCGTGCATTATCTTAGTAACGGTTGCACATATTCAACTCAAATTTGACATATGGATATGTCATGAGAAAATACAGGTCAAGTTCGAATTTGGTCATGGTTCGATGATTTTTGGCAGAGTTATGCCCCTTTTACTTTGAAAATAATATGAAATTTTCAGTTTCCGTTCATTATCTCCCCAACGGTACAACACATTCAACTCAAATTTGACATATAGATATGTCATGAGAAAATACAGGTCAAGTTCGAATTTGGTCATGGTTCAACAATTTTTAGCAGAGTTATGCCCCTTTTACTTTGAAAATAATATGAAATTTTCAGTTTCCGTTCATTATCTCCCCAACCGTACAACACATTCAACTCAAATTTAAAATATGGATATGTCATGAGAAAATACAGGTCAAGTTCGAATTTGGTCATGGTTCGATGTTTTTTGGCAGAGTTATGCCCCTTTTACTTTGAAAATAATATGAAATTTTCAGTTTCCGTTCATTATCTCCCCAAAGGTACAACACATTCAACTCAAATTTGACATATGGATATGTCATGAGAAAATACAGGTCAAGGTTGAATTTGGTCATGGTTCGATGATTTTTGGCAGAGTTATGCTCCTTTTACTTTGAAAATAATATGAAATTTTCAGTTTCTGTTTATTATCTCCCCAACAGTACAACACATTCAACTCAAATTTGACATATGGATATTTTTTTGGAATGCCCAGGTCAAGTTCGAATTTGGTCATGGTTCAATAATTTTTGGCAGAGTAATGCCCTTTTCACTTTGAAAATAATATGAAATTTACAGTTTCTGTTCATTATCTACCCAACAGTGTTACATATTCAACTCAAATTTGACATATGGATATGTCAAAGGAATGGGCAGGTCAAGTTGGAATTTGGTCATGGTTCGATGATTTTTTGGCAGAGTTATGTCCCTTTCACTTTGAAAATAATATAGATACATCTTAGGAATAGGCAGTTTCAGCACTCATACTTTTGTGGAAATGTATGTAGCCATTATTTTGGCTACAAATATGAAATATGCTATTTTCAAAAGGTTAAGACTGAATAATTTCAGTGCCTTGAACATTGAATGAAAATGGTTTGTGTTAACATTGAAAAGTTTTAAGGGCTTTGAACTTAAAATGAAAACAATAATTTGTGCAAACAAATTTGGAACTAAATATTATAACATCTGAAATTTTGGCTGCATGCGGGGGCATCCGTGGCATGATGACACATTTCTAGTTTTGCTTCTTCCATTCCATATATATATTTATACATATACACATATTTTTTCTTTTTCTTCCGTTTAGGAAAAGGAAAAAAGTCGAGCGTTGACGTTGGTTTTCAGCCACCAATTGGTTAAGTTTCTTTTCTTTGAACCACTTTCCCCTCATGGCTCTGGATTCAAATCTCTTCAGGGACTTTGAAATCTTTTATGTGAGAATGATATCAAGTGAACTTATAGAAACAGGTGATTCCTCGTGACTGAAATAATGCACAGAGATCTTCTCCGGTAAAGCCGAAAAGACATCATGTATAACTTAGAAAACAAAAAATCAAGACAACATCTAGTTTATAATTAGCTCGACTATTCGAAGAATATGAGAGCTATTGTAGTCGCCCCGGCGTCGGCGTCTGCGTTGGTTAAAGTTTTTTGTAAAGTCAAATATCTCAATTATTACTTGAGATATTCAATTGAAACTTACAATACTTATTTATAGTAACAAGGTACATCAGATTGACAAGTTGGATAACTCTGCCTACAATATTGACAGAATTATGCCCCTTTTTAACTTAGAAATTTTGGTTAAAGTTTTTTGTAAAGTAAAATATCTCAATTATTGCTTGAGATATTCAATTGAAACTTACAATACTTATTTATAGTAACAAGGTACATCAGATTGACAAGTTGGATAACTCTGCCTACAATATTGACAGAATTATGCCCCTTTTTAACTTATAACTTTTGGTTAAAGTTTTTTGTAAAGTCAAATATCTCAATTATTGCTTGAGATATTCAATTGAAACTTACAATACTTATTTATAGTAACAAGGTACATCAGATTGACAAGTTGGATAACTCTGCCTACAATATTGACAGAATTATGCCCCTTTTTAACTTAGAAATTTCGGTTAAAGTTTTTTTGTAAAGTCAAATATTTCAATAATTGCTTGAGATATTCAATTGAAATTTTAAAATACTTTTTTATAGTAACAATGTACATCAGTTTGCAAAATTGCATAACTCTGCCTGCAATATTTGCAGAATTATTTGCCCCTTTGAAACTTAGAAATTTTGGTAAAAGGTTAAAGGTCTTCAAAGATATTTACTTGAAACTTTACACATGCACTTAGGGTCATAATTGGAGGGTCATACTATCAAGCGCTTAGAATAGTCAAGCGTGCTGTCCTACCGACAGCTCTTGTTATTTAAAACCACCTCCATGGTCGAGGGATTAGAGTGGATGACTTCTAATCCAGTTACCTCTCTGGCATGGCTGCGATCCCCGGGAGATGCTTTGGCAGGCAGAAAGGTAGTCTAGTACTGGTGTAACTCTCCAGGAACGATGGTTAGGAAACTACCCACCTATATCATCAGTATATGACTGAAATACTGTAAGGACAAGGCGTAAAATGAAACAAACAAACAAATTATTATTTAAATTTCAGAAAATTGGGACAACTGGACTGGTGAGGGTGTTGATTACAATGATGGCAATGAAGAAGAGGGTTACTGGAATGATGATGGTTCTGAATATCACGATTTTATCGTAAGATAGTTCATCTGTTTGTGTAGAATCAGGTTGCTATGACAACAAATAGTCTTAAAATATTGCAAAAAAGCAATATATTTTGACCCATTTATAACTTAAATAAAATAACTCCTAGTTTTGCACTTAAAACAGTAGATGGATACCAGAAATAAGCTGTTTTGGTGAAAATAAGATAGATGCTTTGTAAATAAGATTAAGATTAGATTTATTTTTAGCTTGACTTTTTCATTTTTAAATGTTGGCGTTGTCGATGCCGTTGCAAACTTGAACCTTGATGTTCTTGGTGTATTGTCTTCATACTTGGCCAAAACAACCCTTGGGATAAGACCTTTCAGAAGACCAGACTAACCTTGAACTTCATCCATAAATGACCTTTACCTTCAAGATGAAATCTCCAAATTTTGCTTGTTCTTGCTATTATTATACCTCCACCACAAAATGTGGGGGGGGCTATAATGGATTTGCTTTGTCGCGTCAGTCCGTCCCTCTGTCTCCATTATCGTGCCCGCTCTATAAATCCTATACCAATTGAAGGATTTTCTTCAAACTTGGCTCAAATGTTCACCTCAACAAGGGGATGTGCAGAACCCATGTTACCTTTTTGCTGGCTTAAGGTCAAGGTCACATTTGAAGGTCAAAAATTTACTTAGAAAATGTTCTTAAATTTTAACATGTTCTGAAACTAGCACAGGTATTTGCTTGAAACTTAAAAGATATATGAGGTGTCACAAGATATGCAGGTCAAGTTTCATAGCTGTTTTGCATTTTGACGAAGTTATGCCCCTTTTTAAGTCTTTAAATTTACATACAATCAATACTAGACGATATGTCTTGTCCGCTCTATAAATTCTATACTTATGGAAGGATTTTCTTCAAACTTTACACAAATGTTCACCTCAACTAGGCAATGTGCAGAACCCATCTTACCCTTGTGCCTGCTTTAGGTCAAGGCCACACTTGAAGGTCAAAAATTGACTTAGAAAATGTTCTGAAATTTTAACATGTACTTGAATATTTTTGAAACTAGAACAGATAATCATTTGAAACTTCAAATATATATGAAGTGTCGCAAGTAAGATATGCAGGTCAAGTTTCATAACTAAAAAGAGTGTGTGTGTGGGGGGGATAACTTTGTATTGTATTTTGACAAAGTTGGGTGGGGGGATAACTTTGTATTGTATTTTGACAAAGTTAAGTCCATTTTTAGCTCGACTATACAAAGTATATGGAGAGCTGTCCTACTCGCGTCGGCGTCCGCGTCCAGATTTCAGATTAAAGTTTTGGTGCAGTAAAATATTTTTCACTATAACTTTGTCATTTCTTAAAGTATCAACTTTAAACTTCAAATATATGTTCCTTATCATCAACCACATCTTATGTGACAAGGTTCATAACTCTAGCACCAATATTTTCAGATTTATCTCCCCTTGAACTTAGAATTTTCCTTAAAAAATACTATTTTTTACTGTTACTTCTTTATTGTGTCCGACATATAGGGATCACTTCTCCGTCGTCTGTCCGTCTGTCTGTCCGTCACAAAACTTGTCCGGACTACTCCTCATAAACTACTGGTGCAATTTCATCCAAACTTTACAGGAATGATCAGTACCTAGTCTAGTTGTGCATATTGTCAGCATTTTCCGGTTCAATGATTTTTGTCAGAGTTATGGCCCTTTAATAATTTTTATTTTTAAAGTTTGTCCGGACTTCTTCTCTTATACCACTAATGCAATTTCAATGAAACTTTACAGGATTGATCTGTAGCTCAAGTCCTTGCACATATTGCACGGGTTTTCCGGTTGAATGATTTTTGGCTGAGTTATGGCCCTTTGATAAAAAAGGTGTTTTTTCTGTGTGTTGCCAGATACACAAAAGCTTGTCCGGACCTCTCCTAATGAACTACTGGTGCAATTTCATCCAAACTTTACAGGAATGATCAGTACCAAGTCTAGTTGTGCATATTGTCAGAATTTTCTGGTTCAATGATTTTTGTCAGAGTTATGGCCCTTTAATAATTTTTATTTTTAAAGTTTGTCCGGACTACTTCTCTTATACCACTAATGCAATTTCAATGAAACTTTACAGGATTGATCTGTAGCTCAAGTCCTTGCGCATATTGCACGTGTTTTCCGGTTGAATGAATTTTGGCCAAGTTATGGCCCTTTGATAAAAAGGTGTTTTTTTCTGTGTGTTGCCAGATACACAAAAGCTTGTCCCCACTACTCCTCATAAACTACTGGTGCAATTTCATCCAACTTTTACAGGAATGATCAGTACCAAGTCTATTTTTGCACTGTCCGTCTGTCTCTCCGTCTATCACAAAACTTGTCCCAACATGAAATTGGCCATTATGAGGCGACACATGTGATCACTGATCGCTCTTGTTTCTTAAGGGATCAACCTCATACTTCAAATATATGTACCTTATCATCATCCCTATCTTATGTGACAAGGTTCATAACTCTAACACACATATTTTCATATTTATCTCCCCTTTAACTTAGAGTTTTCCTAAAAAAAATACTATTTTTTACTGTTACTTCTTTATTTCTTAAGGGATCAACTTCATACTTCAAATATATGTAACTTATCATCATCCACATCTTATGTGTTAAGGTTCATAACTCTAGCAATAATATTGCAAGAATTATCTCCCCATAAACTTAGATTTTTTACTAGAAAAATGTTATTTTTTACTATAACTTTTTTAGTTTTAAAGGTATCTACCTCAAACTTCATCAATTACATTTTATGTGATAATGTTCGTAACTCTTGAAGCAATATTTACAGATTTATCTTTCTTTGAACTTAGGATTTTCTTTAAGAAATATTATAACTTTTTTACTTTTTAAGGTATCTACTTTAAACTTCAAATATATACATGTATTTCTTATCATTACACACATGTTGTGTGAAAGGTTCATAACTCTAGCATGACTTTTTCTAGAATTATTCCCCTCAATCTTGGAATTTATGTTAGCAATGTTATTTTTCACTATAACTTTCTTCTGTAATACACATTGGGATATATTAAAAAAGGAATCATACATTGACAAAACTAATGTGACAAGACACACCGAATTTATAAAAAGGGAACGTTAAGATTTGTTCAAACGTTTCTTTGTTTGCTTTTAAAAAAAAGTAAAAAGTCAAGCTTTGCCCCGGCCCTGCGGTGGCTCTTGTTTGACTTAGAAATTCTTGGTTAAGTTTTTGCGTGTAAGCTTATTATCTTGGTCACTATTTATCACAAAGTCTTCATATTTCAAATATTGATTGGTCATAACTAGTAAATGATCCCTATTGATTTTAGGGTCAAATGTCAAGGTCACAGGTTTTTTTGTGCCCCCACTATAGGGTGGGGGGGCATTTAGATTTACCCTTGTCCATCCGTCCGTCCGTTCTCTTTTTGTGACGCACGTAGCTCAAAAAGTAATTGACCTAGAGTCATCAAACCGCACAGGAATGTTGATCAGCATGTGGAGTTGTGCACCTGGGTATTTTCATGTGGATATATTTAGTATTTTTAGAGTTATTGCCCTTGACTTAGAAAAAATTTGCAATTTTTAACTTGTGTCTCATGTAACTCAAAAAATATTTGACCTACAGTCATAAAACCTCACTGGAATGTTGATCAGCATGTGTAGTTGTGCACCTGGGTATTTTTGTGTGGATATATTTAGTATTTTTAGAGTTATTGCCCTTGAATTAGAAAAAAATTCCAATTTTAAACTTGTCGCACGAAACTAAAAAAGTATTTGACCTAGAGTCATGAAAACTTACAAGAATGTTGCTCAGCATGTGTAGTTGTGCACATGGGTATTTTCGTGTGGATATTTTTAGAGTTTTTGCCCTTGACTTAGTAAAAATTTGCAATTTTCAACTTGTGTCCAAGTTATCTTCTTGTAAAGACCCACAAGGCCTAGAGCATAGATATTTTGCATAAGGCATTGTCTGGTAGACCTCTACCAAGATTGTTCAAATTATAGCCCTGGGATTAAAATTGTCCCTGCCCTGGTGGTCATTGATTTTCACTTTGTACATACACTTAAAATACCTTCTTGTCTGAAGGTACAAGGCTTAGAGCTTTGATATTTGGTATATGATATCATCTGTATGTACTCTACCAAAGTTGTTCAGTTGTTCAGATTTTGCCTCTAGTGTCAAAATTAGCCCTGCCCTGGGGGGTCATAGGTTTTCCTTTTATGTATATAGTAAAAACTTAAAAAATCATCTTCTCTAAATTGACAAAGGCTAGAGGTTAGATATTTGGCATGAGACTTTGTGTAGTGAAATTCTACCAAGATTGTTCAAATTATAGCCCTGGTGTCAAAATTGGCCCCACCCCTGGGGGTCATTGATTTTCACTATGTACATATAGTAAAAATTAAAAAATCTTCTTGTCTGAAGGTACAAGGCTTAGAGCTTTTATATTTGGTATATGATATCATCTATGGGTCCTCTACTAAAGTTGTTTTAATTATGTCCCTAGTGTTAAAATTGCCCTGCCCAAGAGGCGATAGTTTTCCTTATAATTATGTATAAAGTAAAAACTTGAAAAATCTTCTTCTCTGCATTGACAAAGGCTAGAGGTTAAATATTTGGCATGATACTTTGCGAAGTGAACCTCTACGAAGATTGTTCAAATTATAGCCCTGGGGTCAAAATTGGCCCTGCCCCAGGGGTCATTGATTTTCACTATGTACATATAGTAAAAAAAATAAAAAATCTTCTTGTCTGACGGTACAAGGCATAGAGCTTTGATGTTTGCTATATAATATCATCTATAGGACATCTACCAAAGTTGTTCAAATTTTTCCCCTGGTGTCAAAATTGGCCCTGCCCAGGGGCATTGATTCTCATTATGTACACATATAGTGGGGCGGGAAATTGACAAAATAGTGCAAATGGTGATACAAGCATGAAACTTTCAGGAAATCATCTGTAGACCATGTACATTTCAAAAGTGAAGTGGGCCGAAAAATATCTCTGCTCATTCATGGGCACCATTTTCAAAATGGCCGTCATATAAATTTGACGTCATTAATATCGCATTCAGTCAAAATGTTTGTAAAGACATGAAACGTACACCATAGCATGTATAAAATCCCCTTTTTCGACTAAGAATTTACGTTTAAGTTTTTGTAATACCTCAAATATTTTCAAAGTCAATTGACATATGGCTTTGAAACTTTGCACACTTGTTCACCATCATGACCCCAACCTGTAGACAGGAGGAGGTAACTCTATCAAGCATTTTGACAGAATTATGCCCCTTTTTCGACTTAGAATTTACTTTAAAGTTTTTGTAATACCTCAAATATTTTAAAAAATTTATTGACATTTGGCTTTGAAACTTTGCACACTTGTTCACCATCATGACCCCAACCTGTAGACAGGAGGAGGTAACTCTATCAAGCATTTTGACAGAATTATGCCCCTTTTTCGACTTAGAATTTACGTTAAAGTTTTTGTTATACCTCAAATATTTTCAAAGTCCATTGACATATGGCTTTGAAACTTTGCACACTTGTTCACCATCATGACCCCATCCTGTAGACAGGAGGAGGTAACTGTATCAAGCATTTTGACAGAATTATGCCCCCTTTTCGACTTAGAATTTACGTTAAAGTTTTTGTAATACCTCAAATATTTTCAAAGTTCATTAACGTAAGGCTTTGAAACATGTTGAAATTTTATACTCTTCTTTGAGAGCATAATAGGACTCTCTCCAAGGCCTATAACTGTAATATGGATTTAAAGAAAAAATTAGCCTTTTTCTTTACTGAGAAAATTTAACCTTTTAATCAAGGCTTTTTTTACTATCAAGCACTAAGAATAGTCAAGCATTGCTGTCCTACCGACAGCTCTTGTTATTTAAAGATATAAAGTCACCATAGATGGACAATGTGTTGTGAACAAGACCCAGGTTTCTTTGTCTAACTTAAAGGTCACTGCTGGGAATCGAACTTTGTCAATATTTACCTCCACACTTAACATGTAATAGGTGGTTTATAACTAGAATCCTTCGGGGGCATTTGTCACGTTCTGTGACAGCTCTTGTTTGAATAACAATAGATTTAACCACTAATCTGATAATAAGAATTAGATAGGTCAGTGATCTATGCCTAATGGCAGTCTTCAATTGTATAGAAACCAAAAAATTCTTTTCCTACATTACTATTAAGTGTTGTATTAATGCGGTGGCATAGCATTTTCACAAATGCAATCGTGTTTTAAGTTAAAAATATTGGCTATTATATTATTATAGCCAGTGTGAGCCCTGCAATATTTACATACTTTCGCTTTTACACATTGTTGTCAGACTATATTTACATAGTTTTGCTTTTACACATTGATGAAGATGACAGATTTAATATACAAAATATATGTTGTTGCCTTTTGCAGATGGATGCAGACTATGATCCTCTGGCAGATAATGAAAGAAAGAAGAGTAAAAAAGAGAAGAAGAGAAAAAACAAATTAGCAAAGGCTCTCACTACAAAGAAACCTGTTTTTGATCCAAGTAAGTACTTGTTTTATCCCCAGTCAAAATTAAAATATTCTTCCAAGCATCCAGATATTGGATCCACCGAAGCAAGCATCAACTGAACCCTTGGAGAGGGATTGCACAGTAAATCTCATTTCAAATGTCACTTAGATTAAGCCATCAAGAATCAGAAGTTGATATACTTACAGCTACACCGTCTGTCTCTGTAGCAACAATAATTTCCTGTACAGACGAAATAAACCGAAAGATACAAAAATTGGATGAAAGAGATACACCTACAAGAATTGACGAATGAAACGTTTCTATATTCAAAGTGCTAAAAAAAAAAAATTTACAAAAAACTCGCACACAACGCCACATTGATTAGAAAGGTGTATATCTACTAAATCAATCCCGAAATCACTTTGTGTTAATTTAACACCACAAGTACTAGTAATCAGGTCAGCACTACAAATCCAGTGTGAAGAAGCTCACTACGAATTTGGCAATAACTCTGCATGATTTTATATCAATATTCGAATAACAAACTGTCAAAACTTAAGCAAGAAATAGACACCATTAAAAAAGATTTAGAAGAGTACTTTGCATAAACAAAAAGAGTTAGAAGTCTAATTTCAAGAATTTAATATCTGTACAAACCGAACTACGAAATAAGAGAAAAGATCTTAAGACAACACAAAACAATAGCACACCAAATTTAACACAATAATGGGACGTAGATTTAGACCTTAAAAAGAAGATGACATTAATAATTTTCTCCGAAATAAATCAAAATGGGTAATTAATCTCTTGCATCACGAAACAACAATACTTAAAGGACTTGGATTTTGTCCACACCTACAAATCACAATATCACTACTTTCAAAAGGGACCTATTCATTTTAAACATTTACTTACATTTGCACAGTTTTTTCAAGATCAACATAACATAAATACATCAGAAAACCCTTTTAAAACACAAACAGGCTGGTCACCCCTGCCAAGAAGATCGAGAGAACTTGAAACATTTATTGCCAGTAAAAATCTTCAAATTTTAAACAAAAAGATGAACAAATTGACAATTTCAAATGTTTCTAAAAAGGAAAGACAAGCTATACAATCTTTACGTGCAAATGATAATATTGTTATAAAATGTGCAGACAAAGGAGTCACTGTCGTTATTTTAGACAATGATTCATACATTAAAGAAGGCCTGAGACAATTTAGTATTACTATATTGAAAGTACAGAAAAATAAAACATAGAGAATATGCGCAGAAATTACATAATTTCTAAACTACCCTAAAAAAACATAACCTCCTTGAAATTGAACACATAAATGACCTTAAACCGAAACATTGCAGAACTTTTTTTATATGCTTCCAAAAATACATAAACAGAACAACCAAGGAAGACCTTTAGTTTTAGCTTGTGAAGGTCTAATAGAAAATAATTCCTAATTTATTGACCATCATCATCATATTAAACCATTAGCACATAATGTTGAATCGTATATATAAAAGACACTAATGATTTAGAATTACTTAACCTAGGAAAAATCCTGAGTCATTCATTTCTTTGAACAATCGACGTAACATCACTATACTTATCTATTCCCCATCAAGACTGCATCAAAGCACTAAAAGGAGCTCTCACTAAGAACCTAAGCCATGGATCCTCCAACGACTGATGCTATTCGTACTCAAAAAGACATGCTTCTAATTTAATGGAGACTTTATGAACGACCATGGGAACTAAGTGTGCACCAAGCTACGCCATCATCTTCATGGGCTACCTTGAATCAAGATTCCTATTAACTCAAAAGTTAAACCTGCTTATATGGTGGAGATTCATTGATGACATATTCATGATCTGGCCACACAATAGACAGTTGTACACCTTCATGGCCGCAATAAATTCATTCCACGAGTCAATGAAATTTACATATGATATCGACCCGTTAAGCAAATTTTCTGGACACCACTATTACTACAGACAAAAATCTACACACTACAGTATACACAAACAGGGTTGCCAGCAGACTTGAAAAGTCAGGGAATTTTGATTTTTTTCAAGGTCAGGGAATTGTCAGGGAATTTTGAAAATTGGTCAGTGAAGAATAAAAATCCTAAAAAGTCCGGGAAAAGTCAGGGAAAAATAATTTTGAAGAATTTTCCTTATATGTATAAAGTAAAAACTGGAAAAAAAACATGTTCACCTCTTTTAAGAGCTAGAGCTTAGATATTAAGCATGTAACATCTTCAGTGAGTGTCTACCAATTTTGTACAAATAAAAGCCTTTGGGTCAAAATTTGCCCAGTCAAGGGGGTCATTGATTTTCCTTATATGTTTATATAAACTTAAAAATTCTTGTAACAAACCCAAAAGAGCTAGAGTTTAGATATTAAGCATGAAACATTTTCTAGTGTGTGTCTACCAAGTTTGTTCAAATAAAAGTCCTTGGGTCAAAATAAGCCCCACCCCAGGGGGTTACTGATTTTCCTTTTATGTACATAGTAAAAAACAAAAACAATATCTTCTTTGAAAAACCCAAAGAGGTAGAGCTGTGATATTTGGCATGAAACATCTTTTAGTAAGTGTCTACCAAGTTTGTTAAAATAAAAGCCCTGGGGTCAAAACTGGTCCAGTCATGGGGGTCATTAATTTTCCTTATATGTATATATAGTAAAAACTAAAAAGTCTTCTTTTAAAAAACAAAAGAGCTAGAGCTTAGATATTTGGCATGAAACATTTTCCAATGGGTGTTTACCAACTTTGTTCAAATAAAAGCCCTGGGGTCAAAATTATTCTTGTTCATGGAGAGTTTTTATATTAAGATGAGTAATTTCAGGGCCATCATGACCCTCTTGTTATTAATTATATTGGCTATGGCAGTATTCTGTAGCTCAAGATAATAGCTTTGCTTCAGACTTGATCTTATCAAAACATTTTACTGAACACAAAATACCAAACTTAGATGTATAAAGCATGTTTTATTGACCATATTGTTAAAAGCATTAAAAAAAACCAACAAAAAAACTTATGGGTGCAGGGCTTTTTTTCACAGGTTGGGGAAGCAGCCCTGCCCATAATTTTGGGGATACATTAATGGTATATTTGCAAAAGGGGAAGAAAAAACTTGATGTAAATTATATTTTGTGGGAAAACTGCATGATTTTAAAGAATTTCTTTTTTTGGGAAACAGTCCTATAATGGCCCCTGCTATAGAAGGAAAAAAAGCCCTGGGGTGAATTGGACAGCTGTAGGGGAGGTGGAGATCGTTTAAGTTTGGTAGTTTTAATCAGTGAAAAACCTAATTTGGTCAGGGAAAAGTCAGGGAATTTTATTTATCTATGATGCTGGCAACCCTGACAAAGCCAACGGATGCGCATATGTATCTTCACTACACTAGTTATCACCCATCGCATCAAAAAAAAAAAGTATCCCATACAGTCAAGCGGTTTCAGCCGGGATACATAGAATTTGCAGGAATGATGAATCCTATGATTATTGGCCAATTTAAAAGTGAGAGAATACCCAGGAAATATCATAATAAAAGCCATCAAGAAAGCTGAAAAGCTAGACTGTTATAAATCACTCACAAAATCAAATAATATAAAGCAAGAAGTTAAAACTATACCATTTTTATTTAGCTACAACCCCTTTACTCCAAATGCACAACATATCTTTGACAGAAATCTGGCCATCTTACAATCTAGCACATCAACAAGTTTCATCAAATATTGTAGGTCCAACCTAATTAAACGTATTACAAAAGGGTTGTTATGCATGGGGCAAAAATTGTTTTGCGTGCCAATATATGGTTGACGTGTTACACACTTTCAAAGCACAGTTACAAAAGAGAATTTTATAATACCAGGACATGATACGTGTAGCACAATGAATATCATATATCTGATAACGTGTAAATGTTGTAAACTACAATATGTTGAACAAACCAGAAACAGTATACATGATAAATTCTACGGACATATTGCAGAGGTCAGATCACAAAACAATATGAAACCAGTCTCCAGCCATTTTAATAGTGCAAATCATTCAATCAACGATGTTGACGTCACAATTATACAACAGTCAGAGCGTAACGTAAACAAAAGACTCCGTTTAGAGGAAGTATGGATCAAGAAAATTCATTCAATGTCACAGATGGGCATGAACCTGATCCAGAGATAAATTGGGAAAAAGAGATCTATATCGCAACTAAACTTATCGATGAAGAAAATACTAATTTTTATATGACATTTGTGGTGAAACGTTTAATGCAGCATCTCGGAACCGGAAGTACTATCACATGAAAAAACATGAAGAAAACAACAAGAATTCGAAGATTTTCTATAAATGTTCATGGTGTAGTAAAACTTACACAAGAAAAAATAACCTGAAGAAACATTCTCTAACAAAACACAAATTTCCAAAAATGAAGTTTGAATAAGTAGAGATCAAGAAAATACAAGAAGTTATATTTCCAGCAATAGATAATAAATCAACAACTACAAAAACTTTAATAAAAACACCAAAATTTCGAATAATGATGGGAAAAACTTGAACACCTTACGTCAAAAAAAATCAGAGGAAAGTATAAAAATACACCTGTAGAATCATAACCAATAACTCCAATCAAGATATCATCACCGATTTCACCTCTACCAACGACACCAAAAACCAGCCGGCCTACAAGTCCAGGCATGAATATAGAAGTGTCCTCAAGTACTGAAACTATGGACAAAATAGGGATGCATAATATAAAAATAACTTGATCATAAATGTAGGCAGAATATACGGTATTTTTTAATCATAAACATTAATAAGCAGCATAATATAAAATGTTTATATTTTTATACAGCTACATTTCATAACACTATATAAGACTATATAAGACATACATGTATAACAATCTATTTTTAGAACAATATTCTAAATATAGAAACAATTAAATAACGTCATTTTGTATACTTTAAAAACAAATTCCTAGTAATTTTTACCCTAAAAAAGGGTAGTGAATACCAGAAACTAAAAG